GCCCCTTTAAGGGCGCCGGGGCCGGGAGGGGGGCAGAAGAGTTTCCCTGGTGGTGCCCAGAGTGGCCACCAGGGCAAGCTGGGGAGGGCTAGCCTCCCACTAGGTCGAATTAAGTGGCTACACAGCCCTTAAATCAAACTACTTAATTCGAACTAGGCTTAGTCCTCGTAGAATGAGGTTTACCTAGTTTGAATTAAGCGCTCCGCTAGTTCCAATTAAGTTCGAACTAGCGGTTTGTATGTGTAGCGCCTAGCAAAGTTAATTCGAACTAACGGCTCTTAGTTCGAATTAACTTTGTAGTGTAGACAGACCCTAAATGTTTTATTTGCACAATTGTTATTTGCATAATGAATATGCAAATGTTGCCGGTCCACCACAAGTTTGTGAACGGGTATGCCAGTCCCCGGTATAAAAAGGCTCTAGAATATTTTCATTCCTCTCTGCTGCAGTCCTCATGCAGCCTCCTGGCGCTGCAGGGTGCGGCTCCCCTGGCGCGGCAGGGTGCGGCTCCCCTGGCGCGGCAGGGTGCGGCTCCCCTGGCGCGGCAGGGTGCGGCTCCCCTGGCGCGGCAGGGTGCGGCTCCCCTGGCGCGGCAGGGTGCGGCTCCCCTGGCGCGGCAGGGTGCGGCTCCCCTGGCGCGGCAGGGTGCGGCTCCCCTGGCGCGGCAGGGTGCGGCTCCCCTGGCGCGGCAGGGTGCGGCTCCCCTGGCGCGGCAGGGTGCGGCTCCCCTGGCGCGGCAGGGTGCGGCTCCCCTGGCGCGGCAGGGTGCGGCTCCCCTGGCGCGGCAGGGTGCGGCTCCCCTGGCGCGGCAGGGTGCGGCTCCCCTGGCGCGGCAGGGTGCGGCTCCCCTGGCGCGGCAGGGTGCGGCTCCCCTGGCGCGGCAGGGTGCGGCTCCCCTGGCGCGGCAGGGTGCGGCTCCCCTGGCGCGGCAGGGTGCGGCTCCCCTGGCGCGGCAGGGTGCGGCTCCCCTGGCGCGGCAGGGTGCGGCTCCCCTGGCGCGGCAGGGTGCGGCTCCCCTGGCGCGGCAGGGTGCGGCTCCCCTGGCGCGGCAGGGTGCGGCTCCCCTGGCGCGGCAGGGTGCGGCTCCCCTGGCGCGGCAGGGTGCGGCTCCCCTGGCGCTGCAGCTTTGTCCAGAGAGCAGCTGAGCACCTGCCACTGCTCTTTGTTTCAGGGTTTGCTCCTGACAGCTTACGCTCTGCGACTCCTTTAGCCCAGCGGTCCCCAGCCCGTCGACCGGGATCTCCCGGTGGATCTCGGAGCCTCTGACGGGATCCTGACCGGTTTGGCCAAGATGCTGTCAAGTGCCCCCCACTGCTGCATCTCCTGCCCTTTGCCTTGGAGCTGCCTTCACCCCATATCCCAGGAGCCAGCTGCTTGCTGTGCAGGGCAGGGAAGGGAGAGGAGGGGGCGTTGATGTCAGGGTGCCCCCTCTCCCACCCTGTATCCTAGCTCCACAGAATGGGGTGGGGGACAAAACAGGGATGGGGCTGGAGAGAGTTTTCTGGCTGCTTTGGGGAGTGGTGCAGGGCCAGGGCAGGGCGAGCCTGCCTTAGCCCCTCTGCTCCACCACACAGAAGTCACCTAGGGTCAGCAGTGCCCAGCTGGAGCCAGCTCTGAACCCCTGCCCCATCCATGAACCCTCTCCTGTGCCCCAAGTCTCTGCCCTAGCCCTGAGCCCCCTGGACCCAAACTCCCTGAGGGTACGTCTACACTAGCTCGTTAGTTCGAGCTAGGTAGGCAAATGAGGGCAACTGGAGTTGCAAATGAAGCCCAGGATTTAAATGTCCCGGGCTTCATTTGCATCTTCCCGGGACCCCAAAATCTTATCTTTACAAGTCCTCATACAAGAACTTCCCCCAAAAATCCTAATACCCAGATTTTGGGAAATCCGCTGCCACCACCCAAGGAATTCCAAGAAAATCAGGAAAGAGATCACTTGGGAAACCCCCTCCCTAAGGTAAAACACC